CTGAGCTGAAGAGGGTCCAGCAGTATGCAGTGGATGTGACTCTTGATCCTGATACAGCACATCCTAAACTCATCCTGTCTGATGATGGAAAACAAGTACACTGTGGTGATAAGAAGAAATGTCCAGACAACCCAGATAGATTTTCTGAAGAGATTGTTGTTCCCGGAAAGCAGAGTTTCTCTTCAGGCAGATTTTATTTTGAAGTTCTGGTTAAAGGGAAGACCGAATGGGCTTTAGGAGTGGTCACAGAGTCAGTCAACAGGAAGAAAAAAATCACACCGAGTCCTGAGAAAGGTTACTGGACTGTAGGAGTATATGAAAACATTTGTGTAGCTTTTGAGGATCCTGAAGTCCGTCTCCCTCTTCAGTCTTATCCTGACAAGGTCGGGGTGTTTGTGGATTATGAGGAGGGTCTGGTCTCCTTTTTTGATGCAGATCATGCAGCTCTTATCTATTCCTTTACTGGCTGCTCCTTCACCGGGAAACTCTACCCATTCTTCTGTCCTGGTGTTAATGATGATGATAACTCTGCACCTCTGATCATCTGTCCTGTCAATCAGTCAGTCCGATCTTTCTCCATGAGGAAATCAGATCAAAATCAGGTTAATCTCATCATTTAAGCCAACATAGAGAAGAAGTCCTAAAAACAGAGCTGCGCAAACTGCACCTGCTGTTGGAGACCAGGTTATATGGTTAGACTTTGCAGAACAAGCTAATAACCTGACCTGTATTTCATTTTTTTGTTAAACTGCTTATACTGTTTACCCAAAAAGTCCAATCTGTCTTTCTCTCAAACTCTCCTTTTCTCTTCTTTCAGTGTTTAAAGACAAATATCCTGATTGTTAATTTTTGCTTCAATCACCTGCACTACTTAGAAACGTGCACACATAAATTTAAAAGAATGTTAGATGGCCAGTTGCAGACACGATAACTGGCACCTGATATCAGTCATGACCACTTTTTAGCAACTCCTGTAATACAAGCAGCTTCTCTCCACCAGTTTTAACCAGTCAAATAGATGCACGCTCTCATATAAAACTCTGTGAAGTGCTAAGAAATGTTACTCTCTTTTGGGAAGTTGGCCGCAGCTGATTGCTCACAGAGTGTAGCTTCCTGAACATTGGGGGGTCCATGTACATGTTCATATCTGATCACCCAACTTTTTATGTGACATTTATATGAACAAGATTGCTTTTTATGCAGCACTGTTTAGGCTAAAATCAAGGTTGATGTTTGAATTGTTGTAGTAACATGAAATAATTTCCCTTGAAGTCAAAGTAACCAAAAGGGGGCTGGTGACACAGGACACCTATTAAAGGCTTGCTGTTGCCAGCCTGTGGAGCAGGAGCAGCCTCCTCAAGGCCAGAACCGACTGATGGGTCGGCCAAGCTGATGGGTGTTTCTCAGCCTGTGGCACAGCAACATCAAGGCTCACTGACTGGTGGCAGCGGACCCACTGTTGCGTCCCTGCTGGGAGCCCCCCACAAACCACTTAAAGAAAATCAGATTCAGAAGCCCTTCCACTTTGTGTGACTGTAGCCATCTGGCCACTGCATCACTCAACCACCTGGCGCATGTAATGTGGTTATCCTCCAACCCCATCCAACCCCCTGGAAGCGTCAGCATTAGTCCTTGAGCACAAGGTCCGGGTGGTCCATTATTGCCTGGTTGACATCCTCAAGATGGGCCATCACCACTTTGGGCAGATTGAGGTCGGTTGCCTAGGCTAGCCCCAACAGCAGAAGCATCCATCCGGTGAAGCATCATCACCACTGTAGCTGAGTGAAGCAGCTTATCTGGTGCTCAGCCTGGTCCCATAGCCAGTTGAACTGATCTTGATGCACCACCCCCAGCTCCCGGAGCATGGCGGCTAGCTCCACCAGCATCGTCCAGTACTTCTACTGGCTGCACTGGTCATGGATCTGTCATCCTACAACTCAGTTTTAGGCACCATTGTGACACAAAGTCCCCGACACATACACATTGTTACAGGGCTCATGACATTTATTTACAGCATTCTCTTGTTCAGGTTGCTTTGTGCAGCTTTCTAGCTGACTTATTTCTGGCACAGCCCTCCCTTCGGTCCCAGCTGGCTACTGAACTAGCAAGTACAAGACGAACCAAACAGCCCTGGTTGCTCTGCCAGCCTCCTGGCACTGCGCTGAGTCCACTGCACCATCAGTCTGTCCACACTCCCACCACAAAGCTGATAGAACTATGAAAATGCTTGAAAATTGATGCTCAGCAGAGAAAGCTGCATGGCGTGGCATTCTGTAATTCATCCAATTTTCAATAAAATTGATCACTATTCCTTTTAGAGTGAAAATGTTTGGAAAGATTTTGATATATCGAGATCTCAATGAGCAGTCTGAATCACGACATAAAAATACTGTCGTTTTAAACTGTAATGAACATGTAATGGCAGCACACTAAGATGTGTAAAAACTAAGATATACTGTTCATCCGGTTCATCTCAGGTTGTCCTTCATCTGTTTTGTGACATGACTGATCTTTAAATAAGACTTTCTACTATTTCAAGGAAGATAAATAAAGGCGTGTCTTTTACTTTGGGCTCCTGGTTTCAGCTTTTTAAAAATCTTGGTTGTGGCTCAGGTGAACATTTCCAGATTGAACTTGTTGACTGGCTGTTTGTAGCCTTTGAGCTAAAAAAGATTTGACACTTCGACCTAAAACTGTTTCCTGTCATCTGTAGACTGAGGGATCTTACAGGGATGGTGATGCTGTTTTCAAGAGATATGATTTTTCAATAGGCACTGGTTTCTGGTCCGGAGGAGTTTAATGTTCTGACACATTGAAGGACCTGTCAGGTCACAAATTTTGAAGCCAATACGATAACCTTATCCCACCAACGCTGTGGAGGTCAAGCTTCCTCCAGACTCATAATGATTCTCTGGAAAAGAGTAGAATTCTTAGAACAGAGTTTATTAAACATTGTCATATGAACAGCAGAACAGTACATTTAAAAGCAGAAATAACACATAAAAAGCAAGCAAACGAAAAGTGAAGCAACTCTGGGGTGCAGAGCCTTAAAACACAAAAAGAAAACACACACAAAAGACAGACAGGAAAGAAGCAGCAGAGAAAAGCTACTCAATGCATATCAGACTCATGTTATATAGGGATAGTGATTCCCCCCTCCCATCATTGGGTACCCTTTCATACTTTGTTTTTCTTTTCATCTTCCACTTATGATATAAACAACCCTACACCATAACTTCTTGCAAACCAGCATTTCAGCCATCATTGCATTGGGTTCTTTTGTCAGTTTTATGGCCAAAGTGAGTCTAAAAGTCTGCAGAAAGGCTGTTAATCAGTAAATCCATTCAACAATTTTGTTGGGTGCGCATGCCAGACATAAAGTGCTATCCATGCTGAGTAAGGGTTTACTTCTTCGCCTTCTGGTGTTTGAGACGAGAACCAGAGTCCCAGGTGCATGCCCTGCAAAGGCCAGGTTATTTACTTATAGAGATATTGAAAGGGCTGTACTTCTGCTTTACAGTCATTTAAAGAGTTGCCTGCTTTGGCTTTACAGTCATTCACAGAGCTGTATGCTTTTGTCTTGCACCCGTTTAAGGGGCCATACGCTTTTATCTTACAGCCCCAGAAAGGGCCACAGTCATTTGCTTTACAGCCTTTACAGGGTCCCATGTGCATACTTTAGCAGTGTCAAGCTGAATTAACCTTTTGTTGGACCAGTAACAGTTGGTCATAACACTATCAAAGGTTTCTTACTGATCCTCATTGTTACAATTTTAAACAGTATTAATCTGCATGTGTTCAGAGAACAAATAGCAAAAAATTTTCTTTATATAATGGTAGATATATTTAACCTAAATAAATGGGCCATGTGATGTGAGCATGCAAGTTAAATGCTTAACACAGTGACTCCACTATAAACACTTTATTGTGAGTATGCACAGTGTCATGAACCAAAGTTCCGTGCGCAAGCTGGACCCAGAAGCAGAACTCACACACCAGGGTAGGAGAGAATAAAGAAACCAAATTTTATTATAACTAAAGGTGTCCCGTGAGGGTAGCCGGAAAAAACAACGTGTGGAACCAGAAAACACCGAAGGACCGGGGAGGTGAGTCGCGCAGGGAACGCCGAGAGCAGGGCTGTGGGAGGCTGCAAAAAAAAAAAAAAAGAGAAACAAGATTACTGGGGTGCGGAAAAATGGCAGCATACGAGGGAAGGGGGAGTATGTGTCTTACGGTGATAGCCGGGCAAAGTGAACCAGAGGGGGGGCTCCAAAAGGGGTCGAGGCGGCGGGGCTGATCGTGATCCAAATCTCAGGCGGGCAGGTGGACAGGCAGGTGGCTCACAAAAAACGCCGAGTTGTGATCACTGAGAGACGACTACGGACTGGCGTGAAGCAGCAGGTAGGGCAGGATTAAATAGTCCACCTGGTGATCGCCTGGGATGGGATGCAGGTGTGGGGTTAGCAGCCACGCCCGTGGGCGTGGGCATCCCATCAGCACCCCGGACGCCGGGCCGCGGACCATGACACATAGTATACATGAGTATATATGATTACACACATTTTATGAGAGTAACTATGATTACATGTCTACTGTGTAGAGATATATATGTCATAATAGAATCCACAACAGACCAGAGCTAAATAATAAGCCTGTTCATCTGTTATTCTGTAAAACTTTAATAATACAATATTTCCACATGATCTGATTCTTTTTCTGCTGTTCAGGTTTCGTTCCTGCTGTTCGAACATCTTTTTAAAAACTACTACTAATAATTGCTGACAGTGTAACCCAGTGTTAGTCATCTGATATGTGATGTATACTATGCAGTTCCATTCAGTTCTATGCAATACTAAAGTATTATGATATCACTGATTTATGACTGTCACCACAACATATGAGCTCACATTTAGCTTTGAGAGAGCAGACTTGTGTGAGTCTACTGCAGGAAATATGACTGTAACGCTGCTGAAACCAGTGTGTTTTCACATTTTTTAAAGGGATGAAATGAGAGTTGATTTAATAGCAGCACTGATCAGACTACATTTATTTGCTGCTCCCCCTAAAATATTAATAACAATCCATGAAGCAGTCAGGTAATAGATCCTGGATCATTAATTCAAACCAAACATATGATGTAAGTGATGTTCTTGTAAGTGACGGATATACCAGGGATGTTGAAGTGAGACAACATACATAATTCTTATATTAAGTTCAGTTCAGTTTTATTTATACAGGCGCCAAATCACAACAACAGTCGCCTTAAGGCGCTTTAAACTATAAGGCAGACCCTACAATAATACATAGAGAGAAAAAACCCAACAATCATATGACCCCTTATGAGCATGACTCATAAGGGGTCAGTGGGAAGGAAAAACTCCCTTTTAACAGGAAAAAATCTCCAGCAGAACCAGGCTCAGAGAGGGGCGGCCATCTGCTGTGACTGGTTGGGGTGAGAGAAGGAAGACAGGATAAAAGACATGCCGTGGAAGAGAGCCAGAAATTAATAACATATGATTAAATGCAGAGGTTTATTAGCACATAGTGAGTAAGAAAGGTGACTGAAGAAGAAATGCTCAATGCATCATGGGAATCCCCAGCAGCCTACACCTGTTGCAGCATTACTAAGGGAGGATTCAGGGTCACCTGATCCAGCCCTAACTATATGATTGAGCAAAAAGGAAAGTTTTAAGCCTAATCTTAAAAGTAAAGATAGTGTCTGTCTCCCAAATCCAAACTAGAAGCTGGTTCCATAGAAGCTGGCCTGAAAACTGAAGGACCTGCCTCCCATTCTACTTTTAAATACTCTAGGAACAGCAAGTATGTCTGATGTGCGAGAACAAAGTGCTAGAGTTGTACTATAGGTCATTAAGATAAGATGGGGCCTGATTATTTAAGACCTTGTATGTGAGGTGCAGGCTTTTGAATTAATTTTTGATTTAACAGGAAGCCAATGAAGGGAAGCCAATACAGGAGAAATATGCTCTCTTTCTAGTCCCTGTCAGTACTCTTGCTGCAGCATCTTGGATAACTTAGAGAGATAGGTTGATCATATGCATATGTAATGTAAGGTGTTATGATGACATCAAAGGAAGCTTCAACTAAACCAGATTTACGGTGCTGTGCAAAAGTTTTAGCCAAGTGTCGAAAAAATGCTGTAAACAAAGAATGCTTTCAAAAATTGAAGTATTAATCATTTATTTTTATCAATCAACAAAATGCATTGCATGAACACAAGAGAAATCTAAATCAAATCAATATTTGGTGTGACCACCCTTTGCCTTCAGCACAGCATCAGCTCTTCTAGGTACACTTGCAAACATATTTTAAGGAACTCAGCTGGAGAACTAATCCTTCTGTCTCTTCATGTAATCCCAAACACACTAGATGATGTTGAGATCAGGGCTCTGTGGGGGCCATACCATCACTTCCACTACTACTTGTTCTTCTTTAAGCTGAAGATAGTTCTTAATGATTTTGGATGTATGTTTGGGGCCGTTGTCCTGCTGCAGAACACATTTGGGGCCAATAAACAATGATTTATATTTCTGAAAGCATTCTTTGTTTACAGACTTTTTTCCACACCTGCCTAAAACTTTTGCACAGTACTGTATATCATATCCTTGACTCAGCATAACACTACATGATGTCAGAGGACATCTGAAGATGGTGAAATTCCCATCTGCCGAAGCCTTTGATTTCTCAAGGCTGAAGCAGTGGCCTGTGTTGCTACGAAGCTCAGCCTAGTGGAAGGCGATGTCCGGGTCGCTACACTGCTATATTCACTTGGGAAAGAAGCAGAGCAAGTGTTAAAGACCCTCACATTTGAAGAAGGGGAAGATGAAGGTGAGCATGAGACAACTATTTCATCCCCAAAGTGAACACAATACATGAAAGAGCTTGTTTTCATCAGCACACTCAAAGGTTGGGGGAAACCACAGAGAAATACATAAGAACACCCCATGTGTTAGCAGACACCTGTAATTTTGGCTGTGTTAAAGAAGAAAATACCCTTGAATGATTGGTCATTGGAATACTCAACAAAAAGACATCAGACAAGCTGAAAAAGATGCCTGATTTAACCCTCAATAAAACAGTGGAGCTTGTGAGACAGCGAGGGGCTAGTGCTTGTGCAAACCTAAGTTAAGTTGCTTACAAAACCCAGCTACACAGGGACAAGCAGAAGCACAGTAAAAGCCATGCAAACAAAGCACAGAACACAGGAGTCAAAGTGAAACAGTACCAAAATGTGAATAAATGTCACAAATGTACAAGATATAGTTGAGTACATCCAAAGAACGATAAACGTCAGGCCAGAAATGTGAAACGTGGTAGCTGTAAAAAGCTGGGCCATTTCACGTTTGCTAGTCGCTTCCGTGTGGTCAATAAAGTGTTTGCACCACACAAGAAAGTGAAAGTAATGCAACCTACTTTCTACGAGGAATCACAGATGTGGAAGATTCTACAAAGGGATGGACTGTAAAACTACTAATACAAGGTTCTCAAATAATCTTTAAGATTGACTCAGAGATTGATAGTGTTATACCAACAGACAGCATCTGATAAACTTGCCTGTAAGCCAAAACTAAGAAATAAAAAAACAGTGAAGCAGGTATACAACCCTGGAAGCAAACTGAACTGTGTAGGTAGTTTATTTTATAGCCACCACAATGAGGAAGGAGAAAAGAATGAGGTTTAAAGTCAACATGAATAAAGCTTCACAAGGCATTCACCTCTTAAGTCACAATGTTGCAGCTACCATGGGCCTGATAAAACTCATGGAAGAAATAGGAGCTTCAGAACAAATCTGTGAGGGAGGTTGAAATCAAACCCATCAGGATCACACTCCGAGAGCGTGCACTTCCTTACAGTGTGATGACTGCAAGGATAATGTCAGTATCCATGTTACCAAAAGTGAAGAAACTGGATCATTTGGCAAACTGTGGTGTGATTCAACCAATTCCAGAGCCAACTGAGTGATGTGCTCCGATAAATTTCTGTTGGAAACAAGAAACAGATCAGAATCCGTGTTGATTTGTAAGAGCTGAAGAAGGCACCATAAAAAGAAAAATATGTTTTACCAACGTTTGATGACATTTTGCCTAAACTTGCAGGTGCCAAAGTATTTTTTCTGTTAGATGCTGCAAGCAGGTTCTGGCCAATACCACTTTATATGGACAGCACCAAACTGACAACTTTTATAACCCCATTTGACAGATACTACTTCAGCAGGCTACCATTTAGTATTCCCAGCACCCCAGAAATCTTCCAGCGCGAGGGGACAGAACTCTTGAAAGGACGTGAAGGAGTAGCGGTCTATCCTGTCAATATACTGATATATGTGATATAAAGTGACCACAAGTGTGTTGTGTTTCCACAGTATTTAACCGTCTTCCCAAATACATCGCACACAACATAATGTCTATATGCTGAACGTAAACTCAGTTATGATCTGTGAACAAAGTCAAGATTGCGTGTTTTGTGGTCTAATGTTTTGTGCCTCGGATTTCTCATTGGCTCGCACTCTTGCAGAGCATAGTACACACATAAATGAGAGGCGATTGTAATTCCTATTAATAGTGTATTACTGACTATCCTGCTAACTGGCGAGTTTGCTTTTGTCTGTATGTCATATTTACGATTAAAAATAAAAAAGTTACAAATTAAAAAGTTTAATCAAATTGGATATTGATATTTTCATATGGGAATTGATCCTGCAACATGAAAGGCTGGTAATGGAAATATAGATATTTCAGGATCGCTCCTCACATCACTACCCCTCAGTAAGTGAATGCGATGGTAGACAGCAGTGAGGAGGAGAGTGTGAGTGCGTTGCAAAATATGACTGACACCCATAAATGAAGCAGCATCTGACTGCAGTTAAAAGAAGAAGAAGCAGATACTGTCATGATCGGAGGCAATAAGACGCAGGGTTCTCAAGCATGAACCGCTTTTATTGAATTGTAGCAGCAGTGTACGTGGCTACATCAATTTCTGAAAAACATATACACACCAGTATTCTAGTGACCTCTAGTGGCTGCCCCCATGGTAGCCTTACTAGGACAACATAAACAGATTTCGCAACACTAACTAAGAGGAGGAACCGCATCAGCCTATCAAAGCTGAGGCATTTGATTTTTCTCAATGTTAACCTGCACTGAGGACATACTGTTTGGCTACTGAGTTTGGTTCTGCTTTTGTTCTGTGGATTTGTTTACAGTGTTTGTTTTTGTGTTAAATTAGAATTCAAAGTTTGATTAAAATATTAACGAGCCCACTGAGCCCAGCCCATCAGTCTGAGGATGGTAGATGCTAGTCCGAATAGATTTAATGCCCAGTAATTCTTACAGCTCAAAGTGCGAGACATGAACGATGTGCCCTGGTTAGTCAGTATTTCTTTCGGAATACCGACCCGGGAGATGACCTGACGGCTAACCGCCGGATTTAACCTATGCGTTTTGCCCCTAAATTTTAGCAGCAGCGACGCTACCGGATTCTTGTGAATATCCCCGTGCACACATCTCACCTCCACCCACTCTGCTTCCAACAATGCCCCGGGACGAACCAGGCTCTGGTGCACCAGGGTCTCCGTGCAGCCCGTGTCGACCAAGGCATGGCTTATACACCCTTGACACCTTACCGGTATGTGGTATGTCCCTCCTGAACCGGGCGGGTGCTGGAGTCCCAGCGACCAGGAACACCTGCCTGACCTCCATAAGCAGACACTCCCGGCGCAGATGCCCTGGCCACCCGCACTTCCAGCACTCCGGCCCCGGCGTCTGTGCGGCTCCTCGTGGCTCCAGGGCAGCACCAGCCGCTACTGGAGTCCCAGCTGGAAGCAGCGGTAGGAATGGGTTTCTAGAGCTCCACCTTGTGTTCCTTTCCGCCGCGGCCGCCATCCCCCCCTCCAACCTGCCACCCCGGGCAGCCGCTATGACGGGCCCCGGCTGTTCTGCCGTGGCTCCTCCTGTGCAAGTCCTGGGACCGCTGCTAGATGGTCCTCCGCCAGCGTGACCACCGCCGTCAGAGTCGCTGGGCGGTGGCAGCGGACCCAGTGAGCCGTAGCCTCCGGCAACCCCTCCAGGAACTGCTTGAGGACAACCAGATTGAGCAGCTGAGCTTCCTCTGGTGAAGTCCCGGCCGCACCCACCTAGCTGCTGCATCCTCCAGCTGACGAGCCTAAGCAAATGGCCGCTCCCCTCCTGTCATCCTGCTGGCTCGGAACCACCGCCGAGAGGCCCAAACAGTCCAGGCCCATTCATCCTCCGGCCATTGGCAGGCCAACGCCGTGGCCTGGAAAGCTTAGACCAGCAGGTCTTCCCCCTCCACCATCCGGTTTAACGGCCACAGTCCCCAAGAGCTGCCCCGGGGCCGCGGTCTGCTGCTCCGATTGTTGGCATAGCATCGCCAACTGCTGACCCTGAGTCGCAGCCTGACGAGCCACCATCGCCGCCATGTCCTGCATGATCTGGCCCAGCATCTGTAGCGGTTGGGCAGGCGGCTGGGGCGCCGGAGGAGCAGGCGGGTTGGGCTGGAGATGCGACATTGCGGCCTGAGTTTCGGCACCACTGTGATGTCAGACCCCAACACATGCAAACAGACCGTGGGTATGGTGACAGCACACTTATTTTATTATCACTGTTGTTCACTGTGGTTTCAACTTACTACACGGGACACAGACACTCCCGCTCAGCGGTCACTCCGCTCTCCCTCCTCGACTGTCACTGAAACATAAAAAGAGTCACAATCAGTCACTTGTCCCCAACACCTGTTCAGCCCCGCCTCCATGCCGCCCCGGGAGCTCACCGTGCCACCCCTCCTCTGCAGCCAGCCAGAGACCACACCCATGCCACAAAGTTAAAGCTTGATCAGCTGTTTTTTGAATTTATTTAATATTACTTTCTAATATCAACTGATGTTTGCTGGAGCCACAGCTGTAAAACCTGCTGGTCATGATATCGGTTTGGATATGTGGTGAGAGGGAAACATGAAGATGAAACCAGGAGATGTCCTTACTGAATCATCAGAGCTGAACAGGTGATGGAGAAACACGTTTACCTTTTAGGTGACATGAATGGGTTGAAGGGAAGCTATGAACTGTTTCTGAGAGACAAATAACACCAGCTGACAGGTGGTAACTGTGCAGGGGCGGGTCTAGCAAAGTTTTGTCAGGGGGCCAGGTAGACAGGGAAAGGGGGGCACAAAGAAATACTTTTCTTTCTTATTCTCATTTAAAATGTCTAGCTTTTACCAAAGTGGTCATCTGATGTAAAATGTATAGAAATCATATATATATATATCCCAACAAGACAGTGTACATCACTGTCACAACAGCGTTTGTTTTCATTTAAAGGCTTTATGGCTTTTCCTATAATACCTGGTGGGCCGGTCTCTAGGCATGCCAGGCGGATTTTTTGCCCTAGTCCAGCCCTGGTATTTCCACACACATTTCTACCCTGTGCTAAATTATTTTTTATAAAAATATGAACATTTACCTTCTTCTGATTTATTTATGTATTTTTAGTGCATATTTATGTCAAAAGTCACGTGAAAAAAAATATTATCACAAGCAAATATTTTTTTATGTCACCGGTACAGATATTCATTGTTACTCATGTAAATAAATTCTTTGTGCCTATTCTGGTTGTGTAAAGTTTAATGAGTCAACATTTTCATGGAGTTTGAAGTAAATTTTAATGCAAACCAATTAATAACTCAATAAAAACATGAGGCTGAAATTAAAATAAAAATGGTTTTAAAGCCTAATTTCACTGAAAAAATAATCATAAACTGTGTGAAACTGAGTATTTAGAGCTGTCTGAAGTCTGAACTTAGAGCGCACAAGGATCAGTTTCAAAAACACTCACCTCATTATTTGAAACTTTGGTCATGTTTAACATGAACATTCAAAATTGGAATTGTTAATAAAATCATTTTCTTTTCTTTCTCACTCAGAGTGCAGACATGTCTGCTGCCAGCTGTCTTCTACCTGAATTTTAAGGCTGTGGCAGTGTAGACTTCGTGGCCCAACATATCCCAGAATGCATAGCGCGGCGATGGGTGTGGATAAATTTGCAGAAAAAAACGGCGGATGAGGGGCGGCCGAAGAGTACACTTTAAGTACTGAATATTATGTCACTTATTTATGTGCAAATGTTTAATAACGAAGAACATTAAACATTACTGTTGGCCACATGTCGGCAAAGTTATGTGACATTAGTGACGTTTGTACTAACTTGGTTTTAAAGCCTTTACTTTAAAATATACGCCGTTCAATAGCTGACCTTAATCTTACAGAGAATGATCAAAGCTCATGTAGCAAGAAACAAACAAATGAACAGAAGATTTTCTCCTTCATTTCTGTCAAACAAAGCTGTACGACACGTTTCCAGTGGTTAGTATCATGGTTGCTAGGCAACCTGGGCAGTGCAACGGAGGCTTTTTTTTCTTTCTTTTTTTTAAACTTTATTGACAAACAACAGTATCAGCGCAACGGAGGCTAGGCCGTCCCATTACACAAGCCTCGCACTCCCGGCCTTAGCGGTCTTTGAGTACGCGGCCCTTCATTATCGTTGAGGCTGCGTACTTTAAGGCTGCAGACCCTGAATTGGGAGACAGCCCTTTTCTTTACTCTTCACTGCTTCTTCCGGTTTTCTCCTGCTCTCCACCTATGTGGGCGTGGTCTTCGGAGCGTCCTATTGTCTTTTCTTTTCTTGGCAATGAAGACGTTGCTTTTTTCTCAATTTCATAAAAGATACAATAATAGTTGACTGAACAAGAACTGTGATCACGTCCATCAATACGCATCCACGCACTGCTGAGCCACCGCCTCTCAGAGGCGGAGCAACATGCTTCAGCGTCAGAGTCCAGAAGTGAAACTCACAGTAAAGACAGCAAAACTTGTTTCTCTTCACAGGAGCGTCAAACTGAGCTCTACAGCCTTTCTGAGCAGCACAGCAGAGCGTCTTCCAACACGGGTAAGTACAGATGATCACGATCACACTGTTTTAAAGTCCACATGTTAAGCCTCCTCTTTGTAACCTGCAAATACGGTGCAGTTCACCTGCTGGTTGGGGTATTTCCACACACGTCTCTGCATTTCTCTCCTCTTATAAATTCTTTTTATAAAAATATGCAAATTCACCCTGTTCTGATTTTTAGCGCAGTGCAAACAAATGGTAAACTTTCACTTTCAGTAATCCTGATCTGCAGAGATGATGATGCGTCATCTCTGCTGCAGACACTGTGCGATTTTTTTTCAGTCGCGCGATTCAGCTCCTGCTCAAACTGCACGATTGACTCGCAGGGGTTAGAAGTTGGTAGGTCACGATGCAGGGTCTCACACTATACCGCCCGATGCTCTGATGCGACCTGAGAGCTCACACTGTGCGTCCATAAAATGAAGGTTATAACAGAAATTCTGTCGCTCGCTCTCCCTCTCTGTCTTTCACTCACACAGACACACCACCACCATCAACTTTGCTAAATTGCTAATGAAAAACATTGATCAGGCAGCTGTGATTGAGCAGCAGTGTAGATCCAACTATTTTCACGGTTGTTGTGGTCGTGATAATTTTGTGAGGCCACACCGAAAAGGCTCGGATGAGCTTTCCAAAGCTCTACAAGTTGTGCCTCCATCGCTTGTGTCCAGATCACACGCTGCACAGCCGTGTTCTGCACCGTGTTTTTCGCTGACATTTGTGTTTGCGCGTGCGCAGTGTGACAAACTACGGTGACACCCTCACGACTCTCAATCGATTGATGATCAGGAGCGGGTCGTGAGGTGTCAATCGCTTCTCGTTACCCCACATATACTACACGATGCACGACGCACGATGAAGGCCAAAATCGGGCCGATCGCCAAAACGGTCGCACGACTCAAAAATCGGCTCAAAATGGGCCAAAAATCGCACAGTGTGAGCCCAGCATTAGATGTGGGGACGATCCGGAGCTGTGGAAGCAAATTTATGCCAAAACTCAGGCGACAAAAACATAATCATTAACAAATAATTTCATGTCAAAGGTGTTTTAGATTTAATGATGTTTCACATTAACTGGTGTTCAAACAGATGTGTCGCAGATTCGCTTTTCCGGAGCCGCTACAGACAAAGCAGGAAATAAACACTGAAAAGGATGTCAGTGACAGTTAGTTCAAACCCAGTCTGTCATTGTTGTTGCTCTTGACCAAAAAAATATTTAACATGCCCTTAAGTTTATCTGGTAATAATCCCGTGCACGAGGCGACTGTGAAAACTGCAAACAAAACCAAACCGATGCTGTTCAGAATACCATGAAAGTTACCTTGTTGTTTTTGTTATCAGTTTCACCATATTTTATTACTCCCATGTGATTTCCTCGTTGTTGCCTGTCTGCACTCAAATGCGGTCCAGTCCACTAATGCCACCTGTGTCCAAGTGCCATAGCCTACAATCAGATTAACTTGTGATACATCTGCATCTGACTCTATCAACACATTGAGTAGAAGCTGATTGCACTCACACTTGAAGCATTTAAATCGACCCACAAACATCATTTTCAAAGATGGTTTGTTAAGACTGAAATCAGTCATTAAGCAAACAACAACAAGGATCATTTATTTCTGTTTATTTAAAATGTGTAACATCTGTAATCGCTTTCTGCACAGGGGAAGTCCACGTGGTTTCACTTTCCACAGCAGGTCCATTCAATCATTCCATTAAAAGACGGAACAAATGAAAAACTTCATAACGAGGATCAGGAAAGGAAGTGTGCCTCAGGACCTGGCAATTATAATTTGGCCAAAATACCTTCACCCATGAAATATAATTATTTGCTTGTATTCATTTTTTTCCTCGCATGCACGATGAGGCTAACTAATAATAAAAAAGGATTAATTAAAAAAGGTAGTATTTTAAAAAAGGCTTTACAGCCTAATGTCATTGAAATAAATTATTATAAACTGTGTTTAGAGCTGTAAGAACTTTGACCTCAGTATTTGAAACTTAGGTCATGTTTAACCTAAACATCCACCAGTGGAATTAATAAAATCAGTTTCTCTTCTTTCTCACTCAGGGTGCAGACATGTCTGCTGCCACCTGTCTTCTATCTGAAGATCAGTTTCTGTGCTCCATCTGTCTGGATGTCTTCACTGATCCAGTCTCCACACCATGTGGGCACAACTTCTGCAAAAACTGCATCAGTAAAAACTGGGATATCAGCTACAGGTGTCAGTGCCCCATGTGTAAAAAGGTGTTCAGGATGAGACCTGAGCTGCACATCAACACTTTCATCTCTGAGATGGTTTCTCAGTTCAGACATGAAGCTCAGCAGAAAGTCAGCAGCAGTAGCTCAGAGCAACAAGCTGCCAAACCAGGAGAAGTTCCCTGTGACATCTGCACTGGAACCAAACTGAAGGCCCTGAAGTCCTGTCTGGTGTGTCTGGTCTCCTACTGTCAGACTCACCTGGAGCCTCATCTGACAGCTTCACGGCTGAAAAGACATCAGCTGATTGATCCTGAGGAGAACCTGGAAAGCAGGATGTGTATGACGCATGATAAACCTCTGGAGCTGTTCTGTAAGAACGATCAGACATGTGTCTGTATGCTCTGCTGTGTTTTTGACCACAAGACTCATGAGTTTGTTCCTCTGAGAGAAGAATATGAAGGAAAGAAGGCAGAGCTGGGGGAGACTGAGGCTGAAATTCAACAGATGATCCAGAAGACATGGCTGAAGATTCAGGGGATCAAAGAGTCAGTGAAGATGAGTAAAGATGCTGCAGACAGAAAGAAAGCAGAAGGTGTTCAGGTCTTCACTGCTCTGAAGGAGTCTGTTGACAGACGTCTGAACGAGCTCATAAAGGAGATAGAAGACAAACAGGAAACAACAGAGAAACAGGCTGAAGGTTTCATCAAAGATCTGGAACAGGAAATCTCTGAGCTGATGAAGAGAAGCTCTGAGGTGGAGCAGCTCTCACGCTCTAAAGATCACCTCCACCTCCTCCAAAGCTTCTCCTCTCTCAAAGCTGCTCTAACCACCAAAGACTGGAAAGAGGTCAGTATCCATCCACCATCATATGAGGGCACTGTGGTGAGAGCTGTGGATCAGCTGAAGGAAACACTCAATGAAGAGTTTGAAGACTTGTTTGAGGCTGAGCTGAAGAGGGTCCAGCAGTATGCAGTGGATGTGAGTCTTGATCCTGATACAGCACATCCTGAACTCGTTGTGTGTGACGATGGAAAACAAGTACAACGTAGTGACAATAGGAAGAAATGTCCACACAACCCAAAGAGATTTTCGAAGTTTGTTTGCGTTTTAGGAAAGCAGAGTTTCTCTTCAGGCAGATTTTACTTTGAGGTTCAGATTAAATACATGACCAAATGGATATTAGGAGTGGTCAGAGAGTCAGTCAACAGGAAGGAAGCCATCACACCGAGTCCTGATGAAGGTTACTGGACTGTAGCGGAACATAAAAACATTTGTGTAGCTCTTGATAAACCTCAAGTCTGTCTTTCTCTTCAGTCTGTTCCTGAGAAGGTGGGGGTGTTTGTGGATTATGAGGAGGGTCTGGTCTCCTTCCATAATGTAGATCATGCAACTCTTATCTACTCCTTTACTGGCTGCTCCTTTATGGAAAAACTCTGCCCACTCTTCTATCCCGGTGTTAATGATGATGGTAAAAACTCTGGACGTCTGATCATCTGTCCTGTGATGGTGGGTGATGGCATCAGTGATAATGATGAGGATGATGATAACTGATCATCAGTCAGTCAGTCTGATCTTTTTTCATGAAGAGATTGCATCAATTAAAGATTAATCGTAACATTAAACCAACACAGAGAAGAAGTCCTAAGAACAGAACTGAGCAACTCAAACCTGCTGATGAAAACCATGATATTCAGTCAGAACCGGCAGGTCAAGTCAGCACGCTGAACTTTAATTGATTTGTTTGTTTTACTGTTTTCAACCTGATAACAGTATAACCCATTTGTGTAATTTCAGTTTGAAAAAGACCTTTCCTTAATTTTCTTCCAGTGTTTTAAGGCACAGATGTTGTGAAATATCAAACAAAAGGATTCAGAAACTCTTCTGCTGTTTTAAGGTGTGCACTTAAATAAAAATAAAAAATAAAAATCTGAACTTTTGTTTTCTCCTTTCATGTTTTTTGATGATAATCAGCTGCTGAACTCTAGTCTTCTTCCCTGTAATGTGGCAGCAGCATATGAGGTGAACAGTTTGGGAACAGGTTCGTGTCTCTGTTCTCATGGAGAAAATGATCCATTTGAGGAAATTTCATTCTGAGAATGCCGAAACTCTCCTCTGCTTTCAGCTTTTACGAGTGCAAACATTCAAACATATACTGTTCACAAATATGAGTACAAATGTTAATATTTAATTATTTTCAGGCCTGCAGTCAAACAGATTCATGTCTTTGTTCTCCTCATCAAATTCCAAATCATCATTAATGAAGCAGATTTAAACGTTACATTTAAATGGGAAAAAATAGCTTCTAACTGTTAGTTCAGGTTTTATCAGGTGGCACCAACACATTCGTCTGAAACACATTGACGTGTTTATGATTTGTTCCTGTAAATCTGTATTTCTTATTGATGCTCAGATCAGACAAGCCCTGCAGGACAGCTTTCTGTATTTCATCCAATATTTCAATAAAATTGATCTCTGTTCATTTTAAAGTGGTAATGTTTGGAAAGTTTGAGATATTTCCTAATGTTGATGAACAGTTTGAGTCTTGAAGACATAAAACTATTGTAGTTATAAACTGTAATGAATGTTTAATGGCAGCAGAATCAGATGTGTAAAAACTAAGATGTACTGTTCATCTGAAGATATCTCAGGCTGTTCTTCATCTGTTTTGTAAATAAGACTTTCTACTTTCTGCTCTGTTTCAAGGAAGATAAATAAAGACTCGTCTTTCACTTTGGGCTGCTGGTTTCAGATTTTTAAAATCTGCTACTGTGATGCTACTTTCCAGAAATCTGATTAGTGAGTTGGTCTGGTTTCTGCTCTGGAGCAGGTTAGGTCCACCGTATAGGGATTAAATCTGAATTTAGGGTAAATGGAGAAAAATCCCACACGTCTGACATGTTTTTACAATATTTTTTTATTAACTCCAGTTGCGATTTATTGTCAAGAAGTGTCAGTAAACTAATGAATGTACTAACCAATTAAAAATTAATTCAAGTCCAGTTTAGTTGACTGTCTTCATTAGAATAAATGTGTATTGAGTCTCAGTCACTGAATAAGGTGACTCCCTTTAACGTAAAAGCTTAATAACGTTTAAAATGCAGAGGGAAGCCGGTGTTGGCGTGCTGATGCCGCTCCCGATCGTTTTTTTCTGACCTGGTGAAAAACCAAAACGAATGACTCGAGACAGACTTCTTCAATTCAATCAACTTCTTTATTTCAACCCCTGCGCAGGAGGGAATCAGCTCAGCATAAAGCCTCTTGCAGATTCAAAGGGCAGTCCTTCTAACTGTTACATTTATATTATTCCAAAGTTCCTTATTTACCTCCCACCTTTCCTGTTATTCTGATATCACGTTCGCCTATACGACATACACAGTTTTGATCAAAACAACTTCTTCCTCATCTGTCGTCTTCTACCTTTCCTTTTAAGGTCTTGCATCTTTAACCCCTTTCTTAAATGCATGTCTTAATTGTTTATGTGTGTGTGTGATGTACATGTCTGATCTGCAATGTGTGTGTGTGTGTGTGTGTGTGTGTGGGTCATGTCAAGTGTCTTGAGTGTGCGCTTTGTAGGTGTTAAGTGTGTTGCGCCCGGGGTTTACGCTCTCCTCCTTAGTTCTGCTTTTCTAGTCTATACTTATCCAATGTGTTCGACTGTTCTTAACGCTGCCCTTTTGCCCCCCCGTTATCTACTGCAACTTCTGTACTATTTCTTAGTATCTCGCCTATGCATCTTTTTCCTGTGATGTTGTTTCAACTATTGTTGCTCCTAAGGTCACACAGGGGCCTGCTTAAAAGTATAATGTTTAAACAGCATAATGCTAAAAAGCTATATAATGCTATATAATTCCACACCGGCCTTCTCAGTTGTCAGACATTAGTCATCATTGATTCAATGAAGAACAATGAATTAGTTGCTGTAATTCTTTTCTGCTGTTGATGTTAACTCTTGTTTCTCACTGAAATTCTGACTGAAAAATATGAGTGAAACAGCGCCTCTCTAAATGCCATGTGGTGAAATAATTGATAATAATAATAAGAAGAAGTGGTGAAATGCAGTATTCTCTGAGAGTCTGAGTTTGTCTTAAAGATGTTTCAGCTGCTTTTAAATACTGTCAGAGATGTTCTGACACCCCGAAAGACAAAAACCAAACTAATAACTCTGTGAATCTGTAAATCTTTAATACTAAAATATTTCCACATGACGGGATTCACTTTCCTCTCCTTTCAGGTTTTATTCCAGCTGTTAAAACACATTTAAAATATTAACAGTAATCAATGAAGGAGATCCTGTGTCTTCAGTTCAAACCAAACATCTGGAGTCACAGCTGCATGATCTTCTTCTGCTTCTAATCAGGCTGATGGTCCATCTGCTTCTTTGATGTTTCAGCATCTGAGTCTTTTCCTTGTTGCTTCTTTTTCCTCCTTTTCTCGTCCTGAGTGGGCGTGGTATTGAGCAAAATAAATAAAAGAAAATAACAAAATAAAACTAGTACCGGTACCGAAAAAAAGAACATTTATTCATAACACACATGAAAAGACCAAGGAAAACTGAGTAAACGACAAAAACGATAACAAAATAACGCTGTAAACCAATAAAAGCCCTGAAAACTATACATTTCACACCTGAGCCTCAACTCTCGCGGCCCGGTACCAAACGACTCACGGACCGGTACCGGTCGGAGGCCCGAGTGTTGGGGACCGCTGATTAAGAGGGCCCGAGGGAAGCTCAGAAAGCTAAGCAGAAGTTATTTGGAGAGGGGAGTGACTGCTGTTGGTTGAAAAGAGAGGTAAAAAAAACTTCAGTGGTGTGGAAACATTATGGGTTCACGGAGTCAGACGTGGATCAAGTAGACATAGTGTGTAAACTTTGCTACAGTGTCGTAGCTGCGCCACAGAGCAACACTGCAAAGTTCACTAAACAGATGTTTACATTTTTCATTTATTTTTTATATTGCAAACATTTGCACTGTTATCAGTATTTGCACACTGTTTTATATTATTTTTTGACAATCTTTAAAGTCATTATTCAATTGTCAAGGGGTTGACAATTGTTCAAACACAGTAAGAGGGAAATGAGACACTGGCAGACCGACTCAGAGTTTCAAAGACGTGCGCACGGGTGAGAGTCTCTGAGCAGACTAACACACCGAGCACCGTTTACTCGCTTTATTTATAAGGCAAAATGGGTTACATAGTACTTCCTCTTTCAACTGAAGAGGGGAGAGCTCAGGCATTGTCTTAGCTATCTAACTTCTGCACACAAACTGAAAAACAACGACACAGCAGTATTCATGCTTATCTGACATCTCAGACACTGAAGTAAAGAATGCATGTATATCCTGTCTTTGTCAAACATCTCACACACTTAAGCAAGGAATACATTGTGTTCTTTTCAACAGTAAGCTTTACCGTGTGAAAATATATAAACACTTGATTATAAGGCATACTTGTTTCTACTTGATTATACTTTAATGATTTAACTAAAATAAAAATTCTCTTAACATCAATACATTGTTATTGTTAAATAAATATCGTCAAATAATCGAGATCTCAATTTCAGTGAAAATAATCGTGATTATCATTTTTGCCATAATCGAGCAGCCCTACAACCAACTGCACTTCCGTATCCTGTCGACAACGCCACTTATGTAACCGAGGTGAAGGAGATTTTTGCACAAGTGTTACTAAAGGAGGGAAACCCTCCTCAAAAACAGACGGAGCAGTGGAACAGCCAAGGGAATGCCTCGAATTAAAAAACTGTATGACTACAATATAATTTATTATACTTAAACAGTTAAAAATATAAAATGAATTAAAACAACCCTGGCCAGGGAACAACACAATAAAAATCAATAAAACACAACATTAAACATCCAGTGGCGTCCGCCACAGAATAAAAGTCACTAAAAATTAGAAATGCAGGCAAGCGATGTAGAAGGGGGAAACCCGGCGGCGTCCTCGCCTTCCTGTCCGTGTTCTCCGCTCCGGTGTGCTGGAAAAAAAAAGGGCAGCAACAGTCACTACTCTTTTAGCGGCTACCGTTCATTAGAGTGGAATAAGTCAGGAGACTTACCCTGGGTGGGCAGAGCTCTTAACTCTGCCCACCGCTTCCTTGTAACATGCCAATCGGCACCGGCCCGTCTCGCCGCGGGAGGTAGAGCACTGTCTCGCCGCCTCTAGTTCCCCGCAGAAGCGTGATCTGGCCTCCAGTTACTCCAGCAGCCGGACCGCTCCCTCCGCTTCCCTGCTCGCTGGTGTCGACTCCTCGTTCACGGCCCACACCAGCCCTCCGGGCTTGCAGGCGCCGCAGCCTGACACCATTCACTCCACCACCCTGTTGCCTGTCTCTCAAGCCTCCCCTCAAGCCTCCTTCTCTGTGGTCTGCCAGGCCCTCTTATTGGCCTCTGGGACCTCCCAGGTGGGATCAGGTTCATAATCAGGTAGGGGTGGAGTCTTTCCAGGACAAGTCACCAATGAATACCATAAAAACCATGCAATAAAACCCATAAAAATAAAACACTGTACAATATTAAAATATTAAAAAAATAAAACACAGCAAAACATGCACAATAAAAACCCTAGGTAACTTGTCCATTTCCACCCCGTGACATGTACATGGTTTGTTGGCATTGCAGCTGCTGTGATGGGCTGATAGAGAGCAGACACACTCCAGAGTGAACATATCAGTCCTAACCTGACGTCATTCACAGTTCTTTTGTTCTTTGGTTTTGGGTGCATTTAAGAAATGACGCAGTGTATCCTAAATGTTGGACTGAGGTTCTAATTCACTTGCTGATTCCTAACATTAATTGCATGAAAATAAACCTGCTTGAACACATAAACTGTGGTATGCAACCAGCAGAGATGAACTGTTATAAAAACTGATATAAAAACAGCATAAACAGCTCTCTCAGTGTAGGATCGATGTAGAGGATAATGAAATATCTGCTCACATCTTGTCAATTCAACTGTGTACATCCACAAAGAGCAGTGGACCTCACAGCAGCAGCAGATCAGCTGATCACAGCCTTTACACTAAGAAAATACCATACCATCCATACCATACCAGCTTTATTTATAAAGCACTTTAACATAAAACCAGGGTTCACAAAGTGCTGTACATAGATGCTGGTGGTGGAGATGAGGATAGAGGCTTGGATGGAGCCTGAGTAACATGGAAGAGGCAGAGACGGGGATGTGGTGGGTTTCACGAAGGCCTATGCAAGGGAGGATGACAGATGAGCCGTAGTAAGTACTTTCTGGATGGGATCTGTGTTGACTAAGTCGATGTTGGTGGTCAGATCATTCTAGGACCAAACCAAGCACACGAACAAATGTTCAACAGGTTGAATAAGGCCACAGATTGTCAAACAGTTAGTAAAGATTCAATTATGAACAGTTTGATATCTTCCTTCTAAGTGGGGAAAATGAAAGGTTAATCCACAGAGTTTTCATTAAAAAGATTTGTGGTTGTGGGGTATGACCCAGAGGGTTCAGGGGCAGTACCACAGGAGGCTGGCTGACACATTTGTCAGTAATTGTCTAATGATGCCTAGTCTTTCTGCAAACAGTAGTATGCTGGGACCACAAGACAGTGGACTGAGCTAGCATGGCCATTATAATGCCATTGCTGACTCACATTCACATCTCTCCCTCCAGAGATTCAGAGCCTTGGCCCCCCATGCAGAGGCATCCCTAACACCAGGTCCACCTACTGAACTGCTTGGAACGCATTCCGTTCATTCCACAACCTTCCTTCCTTCAACCTTCGCTTCCCATCCTACAACAACGCTACCATGTCTAGCTTCGTATGTTTCATTCATCGATTCCTGGCCTTCAAAATCCCCACAATCAAGGCTTGTCTTAGAGGCATCAATTTCATTGCCAAAAAACTCACAGGTTCGCCTCGGTCGACCTCTGCATTATCTCAGCTGTTGCTGTTAATCAAAGGTCTCCAACGTCAGGCAGTACTTAGACTCCACAGCGTCAACAAAATTCAATCCAGATTTTCATCCCTGCATAAGTGACCTTCACATATGCTCAAACTGGTAGAGGAGAGAAAGCATAAGAGTGGAGAGAGAAATATAGAAAGAAAAATGGATAGGACAAAAGTTGCCCCAATGCGTCTGTATTTCTTATTGGTGTGCAGTGAAACTGAACTCGGCTATGGATACTCCTGCTTCTAACTCTGATCTGTCTCTTTATGATTTTTGAAGCCTTTTCGCCCATTGAATTATAGGAAAAGTGGAGAAAATTTCTCAATTTCTGACAATTAATTAATTTAATAAGTCCTGTTTGTATTTAGGTGGACGGTAAATCACAACACATAATACTGGGCTAGAGCAGCCCAGCTCAAATAGGTTCATATATATACTGAAAAACAGTCGCTTTTCCTCCTGAAGTCTGGGGAGAATTAAAAATAAGCACCAAAGAGCTCCAAAAAGATGCTGAACTCAATGGCATTCACCCAGGTGTCTGTCACACTGAGGAAATCCAGCCTATTGAAGGTGATCCTTGAATTACAGGGATCCTGGCAGAGAGGTCGCAAGTTACTCAGGTTTACTCCTCCTAACTACAGTTTTATCAGTGATGCCAGGGTGAGCAGGAGAGGAGGAGGGGTTGCTGTCTTATTTAATGAATCATTTCAATGTAAGCAGCTATCTCCTGGAAGTTTTCAGTCTTTTGAATATGTGGCTTTACAGCTGAAGGCCCCATCCAAAGTTGTGTTTCTTAATGTTTACAGGCCTCCCAAATACTGCACAGACTTT